GGCAGCCAGGAGCCGACGGTGGAGCTGGGGGCGCTGGGGCAGGTTGCGGGCAGACGCAGGTGCTGCGCACTGTGGGGACCTGCACTAAGGCGCTGACCCAGGCTCAGGAGTTTTATCTAGGGCTGAGGCCGAGAAGGTCCACGTGCGAGTGTTTCACCATCGACGCTGCCACCCTGTCTCCGTGTGCCAGGGGATGTCTCCTGCCCCCGTCTCTCTCAGTCCCAGCTCCCCAGTGACACGTCCTTCTCATCCCCAGGTCACGGTGAATGTGAAGGTGGACAAGGGGACCTCAGACAGGATGTAGCCCACTGGGGTGCTGCAGGCACCTGGTGACTCTTGACCAGAGCAGCCACAGGCCCGAACTGTGGACATGTCTCTGGATGAGGCAGCACACAGACAGCCCACAACCTTGTGGCCCCAGAGAAGAGCCCTTGCCTAACATGGAGTCAGGTGAGGGTCTGGGTGGAGTCCAGAGCATGGGTCCGGGTGCTTCAGGGCTTGTTCTCCTTCTCCCCCCTCTCCCATGTGCTAAAAGCTCCGGCAGCAGGGAGAGGAGCAGGGCTTTCCCCTGTCAGCAGCACCAGGCCTGACCTGTGCCTTCTCTTCCCCCCGCAGGTGCAGGGGCCCTGGGCAGAGCTCAGCAGCAGCCTCCTGAAGAAGGGCCTGCAAACCTGGAGCTGCCGAGGACTTCCCCAGGGAGGCCGGGGGAGCGGGGCGCCCTGAGCGGAGCCAGCTGCAGAAGGGGCAGGGCAGGCTGGCAAGGCAGGGGGAGAGCACGGAGGTGAGCAGGGCACCAGCTCCAGCTTGGCGGTGGGGAAGTATAGCTGTGGCCATGCCCAGGAGGAGCCAGAGATGCTGTCAAGTGTTTGTGGAGTGGAGAGAGCTGAGGAGCCAGGAACCTTTGGTGACGGGCTACAAATGCACCCAGCCAGCGCTGGCTGAAGCCCTCTCCCCAGTGCCAATAGCCAGGGGTGGTGGCATGGGAAGTCCTGCCAACAGTGGTGAAGCCTGGGCCCCTGGCTCTAAAAGTGCTGCCTCAAAGGGCCAAGCACATAGATCGTGATGAGCTGGGCCAGGGCAGACGTGCTCCCCTCTGTCCATGGCATCTACATCCTTTGTCAGTGAAGAGGGGTGGATTGTGTCATGGCTCAGGGTGCAGAGAGCTGTTGCACAGAGGGATCCCAGAGAAGGCGGTGAGGGCTGAAGGCAGCTTGAAAAGGAGATGCTGATGGGGAAACGCTTGTGCCTCCAGCTCCAGGAGGCCTTTGAGGACATGGCTGTGTACTTCACGCGGGAGGAGTGGGAGCTGCTGGAGGATGCACAGAAGGGGCTGTGCCGGGACCAGATGCTGAGGAACTGCCGAGCCCTCGTTTCCCTGGGTAAATCCCTTTCCTGCTTCTCCCTGCAGCCATGCGTGTGCTGATGCTTAATATCTTCTCCCTGCTTCTCTGTACTCTTGTCCTCACAAAAGTTTTCTCTAGGGATTGAAATCTATGTCCTCCCCACAGCTCCATGTGTGATCAGGCCACTCTTGTGTTTCACACCGACATCTGCTCCCTTTGATCCAGCTGCCTTCGCCTGAGTCTTCCCCGTTCCTGTCACTCCCAGTGCTTCCATATCCAGCCATGTCTTGGTAAGGGGATCTCCCTTTCCCTTCCCAGTGTGGTCGTGTCATCTCCAATTAATTGGGCCAAAAAATTAACTGCCAGCTGTTTCTTGGGGAATGCTTCTGATATCCTCCCTGTCCTGCCTAGCTTGTCCTGTCCCACACGTCCCACTCATGCTCAGTCAGTGCTGTGTAGACCCCCTTCTTCCTCACAACGGAAGGGAATGGAAGTATTATCAGCCTCTGCTGTTACCGCCCCAGGGATTTACATTTCCTTGACTCCATCTCTGGTGCCCCGTGCACACATGATGGAACCTGGGTACTTTTATCACCGGGTTCCTGGAAGTTTCTGCCCACGTTCCTTCCTGATGTCATCATCTCCACAGGCCGCAGGCTCTGGCTTGGCTGTGTTTACTTGGAGACCTTCTCTCAAGCTCGCTCTGTCGTTCTCAGTTGTCTCGACCTCCTCCCAAAATCTGTCTGCATGTCAGATGCCTGGTACGGTGATAAAAAGGGGTGGGCTTGGTGCAGAGCTGATGAAAACCTGTTGTCTTTTCTAGAGGGTCTCTGATACAGGGCTTTTTCTGGCTTGTGGGCAGGGCCATTTCAGCCATTTCACAGGGGAGAAAGCCACATTATGTGAGGTCATCTTCCTTTTCTGGTGCTTTCTTTTCCCTCCATATACCCCAAATGACTTCCTTAGGGAAGGGCTCCAGGGCTTTCTCTGGCTCAGCCAAGACCATGTCAACCACTTCTATGATTTTTGGCTTTCTCGTGCTATAAAAGGTGTCTCTTCATGAGCAGTGTGTGCCCCTGACAGCTGAGGGGGCACGGTGGCGGCAGGAGCGTGGCGGTGGTAAGAAGGGGAGCTCCCACAGACACCCCTGGTGCTGTTGGTGGTGGTGGTTGGAGGGGGGGAGGTGGCAAGTGCTGACCATGGGTCGGTGACCACCTGCAGACACTGCTGGCAGCGTCAGCAGTGGCCAGCAGTGGTTGTGAACCGCCTGCAGACACTGTCAGCGGCAGGGTGGCGAGTGGCGACTGCCCATAGCGAGTGCCTTTTTGTAGGAGGTGCACCACCACGCTCAGGGGGGTGCACGTGCACCCCCTACACGTCACCCGTGTCTCCTCCTGCCTTCAGATGTCCGTATCCAGGACTCCCTGGACGTTTTTTCCAACCCTTCAGAATTTACCCACCTGTGTGCACACCCTTCTGGTTCGATCTTCCCACTGGATGGGATGATTGCTTTTGTTGCCGCTACAGCTGTTCCCTTCCTCTGCCCTGTTGGGGAGTGCCCCTCTCTCCCAGAGAGAAGCGTTATGGTTGGCCATCTGTCCTGGATTCTGTTCCCTGCTGCCAGGCCTTGTTTGAAACCTTCCCAGAGAAGAAACTCACTCCCATTCCTTTGCCTGGAATAACGCTGATAAGATAGATAATCCAGCCACCAGTGTGTCCAGCCTCTCTCTGTTTTGGTGCCTTGTAAATAGTGAGAGCTTCATCTTTCTGCTCTCTACCACATCACAGGTCACTTCACATCCACCCCAGGAATTCTGTTGGTCTTGCACCCATTTTATACCTCAGAGTGGTCGGTGCTGTGTTTCCTATGACCATCCCTCACCACCTGGGTGACAAATGCCATCATCTATTGAAGGCTTCTCCCTGCAACACCTTCTCTTTCACCCTAAATGTCCACCCTCCCTTGTCCTTCAGGCCCCAGTAGAATCCTTGGGCTCATTGCGTCCATTCCCCAAAACTGAGTTTGTTATTCTGCATCCAGTACCCAGTCACAAACCCTCTTTAACCCATTGCCCCAAACAGGATATCGAGGTCCCAAGCCTGACTTAATCAGCCGCATCCAGCGAGGACAGGAGCAGCTCTGGGTCAGTGATGATGAGAACTGTGGGGACATCTCAAGGTCAGAAGACCTGTCACCAGGTGAGTTGTGGCTGTCCCCTCTCCTGACTCCCCTCTCAGAAATGCTCCATACCCACAGTGACAGGGGGCCTGGAACCTGCAGACCTGCCCTCCACTGCCCCTCTGGGATGCTGGCTTCTTAATAGGTTATGCTGTCAGGAGTCCAGATAGGGGGTTTTCCCACACACTGAAATTCCAAGCTGTGGAGATGAGGAGCAGTTATGTTCCTCTCTGCCTAACTACAGCTGCAAGGGGACAACCGAGTTGACTGTCTTGATGGTTAGGCACAGCTCTGGTTTCCCTGGGGTTCCATGATCTTAGATTTCTGCCTTCATTTGGCAGTGTAAGAGTAGATTCCCCAGCACAAGGTAGCTATACCTCAATAACACCATTGCCCAAGTGTGGAAGAAACAAGCTTCACTTTATTGTTTGGTCACGAAGTTGTCAGAGAACTTTATTATACAAGCAGCTGCAGGGGAGAGCACTGAACAGGCAGAGCTTCCTCTTATCAGTCCTGCATGCCCCGCCAACAGACAATTGAAGCAAGCTTTTTATGTTTCAATTCAGGTCACATGACACAAGATATAACAAGTCAAAGAAAAACTGGTTTGAACCAGAAAGATGCAAGAGGGCATAGACTGTGGTTTGACCTATTGACCTCATAGGCCTACTCGGCTCCACAAGGGAAAAGGGCGGGAGAAAGAGCAGATTGCAAAATAGGTGGGGAAAAAGCAATCATTAGCAAATAGTACACGAACTCAAAGAAGTCAGCAGAAATTAAGGCCTGGGTTTTCTTCTTCCACACAAGGCATGATGGGGTTTGTAGTCCCCCTTGGAACTCAGCATGGTGGGTGGAAACTGTTTAAAAGAGAGAGGCTGTGGCTTTGCTGGTGTCTCTGTCAGGTTAACCTGGAACACAGGAAGTGTTGAATCCTGGTCGTGGGCTTCATTCAGCCCATGGGACCATTAAATGGGATTTGTGCAGGAGGTGGTGCATCCCCCATGGTTTGTGCCTTTGTGTTTTGTGTCTGGGCCATGAGCTGTCACAGAACCTGGGACTTAGCACAGGGTCCACATGCAGGTTCATGCCAAGGTCTTTGTCCCAGTGCAGATTCCAGTGATGTGGAGGCAACCTGGACCTCATCAGCAGAGGAAAAGCCTCATGGCCTCATCCTGTGTCCCTTACGTTTCCCTGGAGGCAGAAAGGAAGCACAGCTCTGCTCAGTCCCTCCCTCCCAGAGAAGGTGTTGGAGACAGGAGGGATGAACCACACAGAATTTTTCTACCAAGGAGAAGTAGCTGGTCCAGTGTAGGGCCATGCCCTCCACACACCCCTGACTGCTGACAGGCCCCAGAAATCCATCATGGGACTGATCACCCTCTTACCAGATGCTGCTCTCAGGACTGCCTGAGATCATGGGCAAACACAGGACAACAGTCCCACCAGTGCACTTTGGCTTCGAGATCATGTCAGCCGAGCCAGGTGGAGGGCTCAGCATCATCTCCCCATGGAGCAGCTGATGCTGCTGGGAAAGAGCAGCCCTAAGAGAGACTCCTTCTTCCTTTATGCTATTCTGCCTATAGTCTCCTGGGCCCATTAGTCCAGGGAGCCATGCAGATCCTGTCCTACCATACATGTCCCATGTGGGTTTCCTGCAGCAGGGTCTGAGGGGATGAGGCTGGCAGCTGGGCCAGAAACCCTGAGACTCTGGCTCTGACCTCCACCGAGCAGGGAATATTATCCTGGCACAGGGACGTGCCCCTCCCTCACCCCCAGCACTTAGGTTTTGCCAGGAAGAGCTTGTTCTCTTAAGAAAATGTAAGTGCCAAGGTGCAGTCGTGCTCATAGGCCCATGACAGCAGAGGGAATAGCAGCATTTGGCCTGTGCCAGTAGGGTAGGGACTAACCTGGACTTTCTCTTCCCCACGAAGGAGGCACCTGGCCGCTGAGCAGAGTGGAAGAGCAGAGTCCTGAAGAAGGGGCTGCAAACCTGGAGCCAGCCCGGACTTCCCCAGGGCATTTGGGCAAGATGGAGTCCCTGAGACCTGAGGAGGAACAAAGGCCCAAGAGTCAGGGGAGGCCCCAAAAGCAGAGGGAGAATGTAGCCCTGAAGCAGGTGCCATCTCCCCTTGGGCATGAGAGTGGACAAGGGACAGCACTCAGAGACAGCCCTGGGCACAGAGAAGGATTTGTGGCATTGAAGAGCCACGAGAGAAAGTTCGTCTTTCTGTACAGAGACCCTGCATCTGAGCCGAGCCAGCGGGGAGAGCCTCGAAGGGAAGCAGAAGCTCCTCGCCAAGCCCAGAGGCAGAGCCCACCCCTGCCCCAAGTGCCAGAAAACTTTCAGCTGCCCCTCACTCCTGGCTCTGCACAAGAGAAGCCACGCTGGGGAGAAGCCCCGCCTGTGCGCCATGTGCGGGAAGGGCTTCACCTGCCTCTCGACCCTGGCTGCTCACTGCAAAATCCATTCTGGAGAGCTGCACTCCCGCTGCACCAGATCTGGGAAGAGATTTGCATGCCCCTTGGACCTAGACATGAACCAATATCTGCACAGGGGGAAGTGTCACTATTGCTGTGTCACGTGTGGTAAAATGTTCACCCATTTTGTCTCCCTGGCTCAGCACCAGTGTCTCCATGCAGGGAAGAAGCCACTTAGGTGCCCTGAGGATGGGAAAAGATTCAGAAAATCCTCCAGCATGACCAAATACCAGCACAACTGCACACGGGAGAAGCCACATCAGTGCTCTGAGTGCAGAAAAAGCTTCACCCACTCCTCCAGCCTTGGTAGGCACCAGCGCATCCACACAGGGGAGAAGCCACATCAGTGCTCTGTGTGTGGGAAGAGATTAATTCACTCCTCCAGCCTGGTCTATCACCAGTGCATCCACAAAGGGGAGAAGCCATATCAGTGCTCTGATTGTGGAAAGAGCTTCACTGAGTCCTCTCACCTGGTCCAGCACCAGCGCATCCACACAGGAGAGAAGCCATATCAATGCTCTGAGTGTGGGAAGAGCTTCAGCCAGTCCTCCAACCTGGCCAATCACCAGTGTATCCACACAGGGGAGAAACCACATCAGTGCTCTGAATGTGGGAAGAGATTCACTGAATCCTCCAGCCTGATCAAACACCAGCGCATCCACACTGGGGAGAAGCCACATTGGTGCCCTGAGTGTGGGAAGAAATTTGCCCATTCCTCTAGTCTGGCACGGCACCAGCGCATCCATAGAGGGGAGAAACCACATCAGTGCCCTGAGTGTGGGAAGAGATTCACCCAGTCGTCCTACCTGGCCCAGCACCAGCTCATCCACAAAGGGGAGAAGCCACATAAGTGCTGTGAGTGTGGGAGGAGCTTTCTCCATTCCTCTCAGCTTGCCAAGCACCAGTGCATCCACACGGAGAAGCCACATCAGTGCTCTGTGTGTGGGAAGAGCTTCACGCAATCCTCCACCTTAGCCAGTCACCAGCGTGTCCACACAGGGAAGAAGCCGTATCACTGCTCTGAGTGTGGGAAAAGCTTCAGCCAGTCCTCCAACCTGGCCAGGCACAAGTGTATCCATACAGGGGAGAAGCCACGTCAATGCTCTGAGTGTGGGAAAAAATTCAGTGGCTACTACAACCTTGCCAGGCATCAGCGCATCCACACAGGAGAGAAGCCGCATCAGTGCTCTGAGTGTGGGAAGAGCTTCACCCACTCCTACACCCTGGCCAGGCACCGGCACATCTATACAGTCCAGGGAGGGCTTGGGGATGCCTACCTGTTCACCACCCACTGGTGGTTGCATTCAGACAAGCAGCCTCTTGCTGCTGGAGTGCAGAAAGAGTTCACACAGCCTTTGGCCCTGGAAGGGCACCAAAGAACCTAGAGGCTGTCCCCAAAGGTTTGATTGCGGGGAGGGACTAAGAGGAAACACCAATAGCAGAGGCCAACCCAGACTCTGGGGGATCCTGGGAGAAGACGATTTTTGTATCACCCTTTGAGCCTGTGTCTTCCGCATCATTCTTTAAAAGCAGCTGGTGCTTCCAGAGGAGAACCAGCGACTTTCCAATAGGGTGCCCTCCCCAGGACAGCTGGCTCCAAATGCCCACACAGCTTATCCTTGGCTGCTTTCTGTGCCCATCGGGGTCTGCAAGGAGCTGCTGCTGCCAACTGCTACCAATCTGGCAGGTTTCGCTTCTCAGCCTCTCTCCAGAACTCTGCACCCCTGGGTGCCTGCTGCTCCCCTGCCCTCCTACCCTTTACGACACTGTAATGCTTTCTTTGCTCAGAAAGCCCCAGCACTGAACACAGTATCCCTGTGCCCTCTCTGGAGCATTGAGATGGGAACCGAGCAGAGCAGAGCTCCCTGTGATTTCCCAGCCTCTTCCCTTTCCAAGGATTTACTGTGGTCCAAAGGTTGTTCAAAATCCTTGGGCTCAGAAGTCGGTCACACTCAAGGCCTCACTCCCCTGTACTGCTGCGCAGCAAGGACCCTGCCATTTGGAAGGAGCCTGTGGCCAGGGGCCAGTAGAGTGCCTTTTCTGGGAGAAGGAGGGGCAGCCTGTGGCAGGTCCTGCCTCTCCTGGGGAAGGGCAAGGAGAGTATGAGGACATCCTCTGGGTGAAATGCAGGATGTTGTCATGTCTCGGGAATGTTCCCTGATCGTTAGTATCCCAATACACTGTGTTTCGTGTAGAGGAACTTGGCTTGGCTTCTTTTGTTCTTGTCCAGGTAAAATACATCCCTCAGAGACATCCTGGGTGTAACATACTGGGATCCTGGCATCGCCACCGTCCTAAGCAGCCTTTGATGGGAATAGAGAAGCAGGTCTCTCTGGGGCACTGGGCCAGCTGAAAAGGCAGACAGGGAGATTTTGCTTCAAGGGGGCAACACTCAGCCCCTGCTCATCTGACCAGGAGTCACCCAGAGCTCAAGCTGCCTCTGTCTCCTCACTAGAGAGAGTGCCAGGACCCAGGGCAGGGTAGACATATGTGGGAGTGATTACACGTTAGACTCGTGTCCCGTGTCTCCTTTTGGTCCAGGAAAGCTTGCTGCCTCTTGTCCAGCACCCAACACCCTCCAGGTTCTTCATGAAGCTCAGCATCACTCTCCAGCTGGGTTCACAGGGCTGGATCCCCCACAAGGAGCAACAGCTCTAAACATTACCTGAAAAAGGTACCTGAATATGCATACATCGGTCCTCAACTTGAGGTTGCACAGCCACTAGTTGGGGTGACCTGGGCGTAGCTGTGCCTGTGTTCTCTGAGGGGTTGTTCCAGGCTTCTGAGCTTTCCTGGTTGCCACGTGGAGCTAGGCAGGAATCCTGCCCCCCACCCGCTTCTGCTACATGTGTCAGGGGGGTTACTGTTTATAAGCCTTCCTCTGAGGTACTGGGTATATGCGCACTGGGCTGTGCTGAGTCTTCTGGAAGGGCTGGGACAGGCCTCTACATAAGAATAGTAGTAGTTATTATGACTTGCTATCGCTGCTACTGTTATTATTAATATTATATCCTATTGCTATATTTACTGCTCTAATTATAATAGCTATTCTAGTAATTATGCAAAAAATAGTAGTAATGTCATTATTACTATTGCTAGTTCTATTATTGTAATAGCAATAGTAGTGCAAATAGGAATAGTATTATTCCTACTACTCTAGATATTATTATTATTACTACTGTTTCTATTATTATTATAGCAGTAGTAATAACAAATATTATTTCTATGACTTGGTATTATTATTAATATAACCAGTAGTAATAATGTTCCTATTACTAGCGCTATTATTATTAGTGCTACCACTATGGCTATTCATTAGGGCTGTCAAAACAATTTAAAAATTTTTATTGTGATTAGTTGTGCTATTAAAAAAAAATAGTTGATTAATTGTGATTTTCATTGCAGAACTAAAAACTCAAAATTATGTGCAGAAAAACGCAAAATTATGCAAAAACATTGAGAAAATATTGGGGCTGTTTTGGTATAGGAGCAGCAGCAAGGCATGCTGCCAGGGAACTTCAGTGCTCAGCGCTGTACAAACCACAATAAACAGGGGCTGCAGGAGGCGAGACCAGTGTAAATGCATCTGAGGGGTTGATTCCCGGAGGCAGAAGAGGTACCTGAGGCTGAAGAATGCACCTGTACCAAAGGAGGAACTCCAGGCTGGGCAGGAGATGGTTTCCCCTCAGCCCTATTCTTGTCACAAACTGTGTTAAACGTGAGCATCCATCCAGTGTGGGCATCTTCTCTGTGCTTGTTTCATGTTCTGCCTGAGGTGGGAAAAAGAAAGAAACAGATCTTAGCTGGGATTGACATGCAGTCTGTGGTCAGCCCCCATCCAATGTCGGTAACATTTCACGCTCCAGCTGTAGGGAGGGGACACCCCAAGTGGGTCTGGATCCATTTTGTGCTCTATTTCCCCATGGATCCCTATGACACACACACCCCCCCTGGTATGCATATACACATACCCAAATATATATACACATCTAGTCATACACACAGACACATATACATGTGCACGTACAAACATACACCTAGACACATGCTGAAAGAGCTGGCTGAGCTCATAGCGGTGCCTCTGGCAAGGCTGTTCGAGGAAACATGGAACTCAGTTGTCATCCCTAATGACTGGGAAAAAGTGAATGTGGTTCTCATCTTTAAGAAGCGAAAGAGGGATGACCCTGCCAAATATAGACTGGTCCGTCTGACTTCAGTACTGGGGAAGATCTTTGAAAAAATTGTTCAAGGAGGCCATCAGCCACAAGCTTGTCTCTGGTGAGGTACTGAAAAGCAACGAGCATGGCTTTGCCATGGGGAGGTAATGCCTAGCAAACCTGGTGTCCTAATATGACCAATATGACTAATCACCTGGACATGAGACAGGAGGTGGACATCATCTACCTAGATTTCAGCAAGGCCTTTGATACTGGTTCCCATGAAATCCTCTGTTAAGTTGGAGAGTACTGGCCTAGACTTGGCTAAAATGAGGGGGGGTTGAGAACTGGCTCAGCAGCCAAACCCAATGAGTCATAATTGATGGGCTGACCTCATCCTGGAGGGCTGTCTCCAGTGGTGTACCCCAGGGGTCAGTGCTTGGGCCTGTGCTCTTCAACATCTTTATTAAGGACCTGGACGAGGAAGTGAAAAGTACAATAATTAAGTTTGTGGATGATACCAAGCTGAGGACAAGCAGGTACATTAGAGGACAGGTCAAGGATTCAGGAAGACCTTGACAGGCTGGTTCTGTGGGCTGAACAAAACCATGAGGTTCAACAGGGACAAGGGCTGGATCCTTCACCTAGGTAGGAAGAACCCTCACCATATCTATACGATGGTTGGTAGTACACTGGCTGGCACCGCATCCAAAAGGGACCTGGGGGTGTCAATTGACCAGAAGATGAATATGAGCCACCAGTGTGATGAAGCTGCCAACAGAGCAAGTAGAGCTCTGGTGTGCGTCAGCAGGTGCGTCGCCAACAGATCCAGAGATGCTTCTCCCCCTCTATTCAGCGTTGGTGAGGGCACAGCTGGAGTACTACATCTAATTCTGGGCACTGTCCAAATGGTGCAGAGAAGGGCCATGCACATGATCAAGGGCCTGGGGGACAGGCCCTGTGAGGGGAGACTTTGGGATCTGGGTTTGTTCAGCCTGGGCAAAAGAAGGTTGAGAGGTGACTTGACAGCTGCCTACAAATATGTCAAGAGAGATCACCATGATCTAGGAGAGCAACTTTTCAGAAACTACCCTGCCCCTGGGAAGACGTGGACCAATGGACACAAGCTAGTCAAGGAAAAGTTTCAGCTGGACATAAGGGAAAACTTTTCTGTACAGGTAACTACAATCTGCAACACGCCACCAGCAAAGATGGTGCAGTCGCCATCTCTGGTGGTCTTTGAGAGGAGGCTGGACAAATACCTTGTTGAGCTCATTGTCCATGGCAGGGGACTGGACTTAGGTCCTTTCCGGTCCTTCTTTCTATGATTCTATATAGATAAAGGTGTACATGGTGTGCCCCCCTGGGTGGGGGTGGGGGGGAACCGGGGCCCCCCAGCAACCAGTCAGTGAGCAAGGGGTCCCCCCCCAGCCAATCGCATCAGCTGGGAAGTGGCTGTGGTGCTCCCACTCCCTGGCTGGTGCTTGTGGGGGTGGGGCCCACTGGTGCTCCTGACTGCCGTCCCCCCCACATTGCCTGAGCGGTAAGCGCGGCCTGTCAGGGGGGTACACTGGTGCTCTCGTGGGGGGGCATGTACACCCCCATGCACTCCCTACACATCACCACTGTAGAGATAGATGATATATGCATACATGTACAGACACATACAGGCACACACATACATATACATGCACGTGTATTCACACATTGGTGGATATATACACATGCATGTATATACACACGTGCACATCTGTATACATGTATATGTAAGTATAGATTCATACGTATGTGCACATATACACGCACATAAAATATATAGACATACATATAATATACACCTCTGTACACAGATAATGGAACATATACATGCAAAAAGCCACATACACATATGCAGATGTATACATATAAACAAATATACATAAACATATACATGTATATACACACACACAAATATATAAACCCACAGACACATATACACAACATATTTCTACATAAAATATATCTGTACACATACCCATACATATATATGTATAGATTTCATAGATATTTGGGGTTAGAAGGGACCTCCGTAGATTGAGTCCAACTGCCTGCCCTGGGCAGGAAAACATGCTGGGGCCAGCCAGGTGTTGAGCCCCTCTTAAAGACCCCCAAGGTAGGGGAGAGCACCACCTCCCTTAGAAGCCCATTCTGGGTGGGTAATGTACATATAAAAGTATATATACACACACTAGTACACACACACAAATAACATTTTTAGCATTTTCTGCCCCGTTATTCTCACCCCGGGGTCTCCGGGGCAGACACCGGCGCCCTGGGGCGTTGTGTGGCCCGTGGAGATGGTCGCGGTGCAACGCCCAGACGCCCGCACATGTCCAGCAGGCCC